GAAAGCAAATTAACCACTAGTCATGTATTCACGCATCTTACTGTAATGATGCTAAACACTTTGTTAGGCAATCAAGGGCACTTAGTTGGTGCTCAGTAGCCTCAGCTCAATATGTAAAATATACCAAAGTATTTGTTAGATTGAAGGGTCAGTTCACAGCAAACTCTGTGTTTATATTAGATAGCAGTAGTTTTTGGTAAATTAAATTAAACAATTTATGTATGCAGAATTATGTATCTTGGGATATTGAAATGTAGAGAGGTGTCCATATTAGACAGTTAGTACCAATAATAACAAGTTTTCATTGGTCGGGATACAACTATACTCTGGAAAATGCAAATGTCCTTCAACGTTTCAAGTGAAGGCCCTCTGAAAGTAATTGTTCAGTTATTAGGGAGTATTCATATTTGAGAGGTGTTTGTATTAGAAAGATGTGCGAGAGTATACAGTCTCAACTGAAACCCCTGCTTTATCATTCTTTACAACATTGCCCGATACAAAAGTTGTGTTCACCGCAAATACATCTGATCTCACATCCACTAGAAGTTTTATTTTTCTCTATCGGACTGTTCCTAAAGGTACATGCACTCGGAGATTGCATACTTCCAGTCATGCACTCACGTGAATTTTACAATGGCCTAATTACGCATTTAGACGATTCAGGTTACTCGATCTGACAGGTGTGACGCGAAATTCCTGACTTGCGAAATATCTGACTATTGCAGAACTGCCCATGCGCAGACGATGCGCATGAATGACTTTGGCTCATAAATTTCGCAACTCAACAGACAACACGTGTATTTATAAAGTCATTTTATTTTTACATAAATTTTCAAACATCAATTCTACAATTGATCAACTGAATTGACACTATACCACTGATTGTGAACGTTAGCGTTCAGCGATAATAAAGCTTGAGTCGTAGTGATATAAAATAGACTCCAGTTTCAAAGGTGATGCTATATGCATTACTACAAGCACCAAAAATCGTTATGCGTTTGACCTTCTCACTATTTAGTAAGCAGCAACAATGAGTTTGCCGTTTAGATTTGGCGATGTCTATATTGGAAACACTTGGTAACATCGCATATGGGCTTAAATATCGTTTCGACCGACCGTATTTAACAAACGTCGTGTATTTCGCGGTCACGACCACACAATTCGCTTTGAAATTTAAATTGTTTGTGATTGAAACTTAGCGATGTCGATTTGAAATATTTAACGAAGTATTAGAAATTAACATCATGATTATTTTATCTAAACTCTAAAAAACAGTTTTGGCCGACTTAGAATTTAGCAAGCGTCATGTATTTCCCGCCTGTACGCGCGAATTTTCTGACCCGTCACGCTTGGTCAGGTATTTCGCAGAGGTCAGGAATTTCGTTTGACACCGGGAAAGCAAGACAATTAAAGTTTTGCTAATTTCTCATCCAATTTATTATCATCCATATTTTTCCAAATTTTAATATGTCTTTGGGCAATGTCCATTAGTCTCATACATTTTCAATAATAACAGGGTGTCGACGGGCCTGGAAATCCTGTAAAGTTCTTGAATTGGAAAGAAATTCCAGGACTGGAAAGTCCTTGAAAATCAGTAGAAGTCCTTGAAAGTCCTGGAAATAATTTCCTTAACTTCCAGCTGTGCCAACATTAGTGATTTTGATTAAAATTACTGAATAAAGTGAATTATTTACGGCAAACCCGTGCCATTTTCAAAGATTTTTCCCTGTTCTAGGTCCTTGAATTTACTGAAAAAGGGCCTTGAAAGTCCTGGAAAAGTCTTGAATTTCACCTTCACCAAAGGGTGGACCTTCTCAAAATCTTTTCATCGCAGCATTTTACGAAATCATCCGTATAGTGATCCGATCACTTTACTTTACATTGTTTTTGTTTGGTTGGACTACGCCGTTGTTCAAAATCTGTGACCATGAAATGTGCTGAGCAAAGCACCAAAGTGCTTGATGGCTGCCATTGCGGACGATGTCTTTGGACAAAACAAGCCTGTTTTGCTCGGACAGGACTATCGCTAGGGAAGCGATGCATCCAAATTCCTTCTGTTTTCGAATTATTTTTGCAACTGACTTTTCCAGGTCCGCCTGCAACACAATACTTTCCAAGAGATTTCCTTTTCGCTCGCCTGTTTTGAGTCTCGGCCATGACAATCACCTTTGGAATGAACGTGCGAGTACAACCAGTGACGTCACACCATCAATTTGACCGCGCCGTGAGATGGGACAAACAAAGGTCATAGATGGCACACTTTGTAGCTTAAAAAATCGACTTTAAAGAATCGCGGGGCGAAAATAAAATACAGCATGATATTCAGCGTACTTTAAACTATAAAATCAGTACAATTTCAGAAAAAAATTTCAGCCATTTCATAAACACTTTAAAGCGCAGGCTCTTGACAAGTAAAATCGTCTGTTATTAGACAATTGAGATTTGGGATTAATGGGGTAAACATTATTTTTCTACTACAGATACTGACAAAGAATGCAATTACATATTTTATGGCCGATGGGGAAATATTGACTCAAATAAGGTACAGAAGTCGTGTTATTACAGTGCATTTGAGTGTTGGGTTGAAATAGATGTACAGTACTGTAATTGCATCCTTTAAGTCATCCATGTGAATATATATGACAGTCTCAGGGTGTGATTTAGGCAATCCCACTTATCGTATTTAGTCTCTATTTAGCCCCTAAAGCAGTAAATGAAGATCTGGCGTTTGAAGTTTACGTTTGGCGTATAAATTTCATGCTTTAACGACTACAAGCCTTCGTAGCAGTTCAAGCATGAAATTTATATGCCAAACGTAAACTTCAAACGCCAGATCTTCATTTACTGCTTTGGTGAATATGTGACTAGTGCATGGTTAATTTGCTTCCTTAAATCATTGCTAAAGAACACAAGTTTAAGAATTGTTTAATATATTTCAAAACTGGTGTAAAAGCTGTTATAATGTTGTAAAATCAAAAACTTCGTTAGCGGTTTGACGTTTGCGGTAAACGTCAATCTGAAACTCTCTAATAATGGTCCCCTGTTTCTTCTGAAATTTGCCGGTGAATAATTAATGAGGTCACACCAATTTGACCGCCTCGAGTCTCATTATTTCAGGTACAGTTCAGCATTTTGAATGACGGTTTTTAAGGCGCATCACAACCCTTAATTGAAAAAAACTAACTTCAATCAGGAGCAAATTATTGAGACAACCGCATAAAAAAGAGAAAATTCAACCCACTTTTTCCAACATTGATCATGGGGGCAGGGGGGAGGCCGACGTACTTTAAAATGGCCAAAAACGTGAAAAGTCTCATTATTTTTGCACGCGATTGTAGGAAAATCAATTAAGCATAATTCAAGATCATGCAGTGAACTCGATGTTTTTAACATTAAAAATGTTAAATAATGTAAAAACATTGAAATCACTGATCTTGAATTATGCTTAATTGATTTCAGTGCCGTAGCAAGGTCGATAATTGAGGGGCTTATATTCATATATTCGTGTTCTGCGTTATTAATTTCTTTTGAAATCGATTATTTTTATGGTCTCTGAACACGAATATATGAATGTGAGCCCCCCCCCATTGGCCCAATTATTGGGCTTGTTACGGCACTGGATTTTCGTAGTTAGTTTTTCAATTAAGGTTACAGGACGCCCTTTTTGGCGTTTTGTGGAAAATCGCTACTGCGCGCTCAAAATCAGTCCGATTTTCATCAAATTTTCACCAAATGTTAGCCATGCAGTGCATGCAAAATATGATAAAGTTGTAAAATTGACAAACAATAAAATAATGTAAGAATTATTCAGGAAAATCTTAAGTCGCGGTAGCTTTACGCTTTTGAGTTATGTTCCTGCTGGTTTTAAGATATATTTATGAAAATATCATTTTTATAAAGTAAAATAGTTGTTCTAAAAAATTGTGTTCGGAAATTTTTGTTTATTTCGTCATTCCGCTGATATGGCGATTTCTTTGACGACTGCAATATATTTCTGAATCGTTTGTGTGAATTGCTCCTTATTATTAAAATATCCAAAATTAGAACAAAGCCGAACACAGTTTTGAAACTGACTTCTTTAGCTATGTTCTGTGAAAATTTGAGAAAAAATGGTTAAAACCCGCAGGAGCACAACTCATTTAAAAATCAGTAATTGCCGTAAAATTCTTTGGGAGAAAATTGAATTTGAATATTACATTTTCAATGTTTTTCTTATTGCAGCGAAATGTATTTTATTAAATAACTCTGCGAGTTTTCAACATTTTTCGTCCAAACTTGGTCAAATAGTAGAACTAGTCTAATGCTTTCATGGAAACCAATAAAAAAATTTTCGGCAAAATTAACACTCAAAGGTGTTCTGTAACCTTAAAAGGGTTGTAATGTGCCTTAAAACCCATCATTCAAAGGGCTGAATTGTGCCTTTAAAACGTTGTAAAACTCATTAGAAGGCATGTGTAAGCTATATCTTTCAAGTTACGTAGAAGACGATATTTGAATTTGATAGTATAACTACTGTAATTTAAACACGTAACGATTTAATTCGTACTGTAAGACAGATTTTAAAATATCTCGCTCGATTCATATACCAATTTTCTAATATTAGACCTTTTTATTTTTTAGTACTACCGTGGTTCAAAAAGGTGTAGGTATACAGTTGTTCTTCCTCAACGAGGCTCAATTTCACTCTTCTTCGACAATGTAAATATACCTGTTGGCGAGAGATTATTGATATGGAAGGCTACCTGGGTTTATTTAAAACCTGATGGAAATCCTGTCAAAGTATTTACTCATGCGAATAGTGGCAAGTTTCATTACATCGGGCCTGAGAGCGGTGTCATATTCGAGTTCAATTCAACAACAGAATTTACAATTCGTCTCCAAAAGTACGAACGAGGTACAGTGGCATGCCCAAAATCCTGACATTCTACCCAAAACATCTTACACTGGCATCACCTAGTTTATACAGGGTGTATAAAAAAAACTGAACAGATTTGAAATTGCTCTCAATTTCGCAAAACAGCCATTAGTATCTAGTTTTTGATGTATATAGTTTCCTTGGGTACTTATAATGTAGAATAATGAAAAAAATTTCTCGAACTCAAATTTTGTGATCCAGGGGTGTACGTGTCTTTTCCAACAAACTAAAAATGGCTTGCGCACGAAATTTAAAAGCTTTAATCGTATTTCGAGATAATGGATGGAAAACTGGTTGGGTTTTTAATTATTGTACAAAATTTCAGACAATTTGCTCTAGTTTAAGCCCTTTAACTATCCATTTTTTCCTAAAAAAAAGCCTTTCGCATGCTTAATTAATGCCTTTACCTAATTTGCGTATTACTGACATAGCAAATTGCAGACTTTTTAGGAAAAATGTAAGTTTGCGTGAATAGTTAAAGGGCTTAAACTAAAGCAAATTGTCTGAAATTTTGTACAGTTATTAAAAACCCAACAAAGTTTCCATCTATTAACTCAAAATATGATTAAAGCTTTTAAATTTCGTGCGCAAGCCATTTTTAGTTTGTTGGAAAGACACACACCCCTGGTTCACAAAATTTAAGTTCGAGAATTTTTTTTCATTCTACATTATAGGTACCCAAAGATACTATATACATAAAAAACTGGATACTAATAGCTGTTTTGCAAAATTGAGAGCAAATTCATATCTGTTCAGTTTTATTTATACACTCTGTAGTATAATTCCATGAACTTGTGGTTAGTATAATTGCATGAACTTGCATGACTCACTGATCTAGAAATACTTACATGACTCTGTAAGGGCTGGTGTAACAGGAAATATGCCCCCGCCCCCCCCAAAAAAAATTCCCCCGGGCAAATGTCCTGCCAGAGTGCCGATGGTTTTACTTTTTGCAGCTGCTCCTGGTTTGGTCTAAAATTTAGCACTCAAAATTTCCATCTACAAAAATCCATACATATCTTATACACACTAGATAGCACATCTTCTTTAGTAAAATTCAAGCCAAGAATATTCCAGCGGTTACCCCCATTTCAATAGATGGCGGCCATCTTGGAGTTTCCCACTCGCTAATAAACGCTTAAAAAACAACATAACTTTCATCATCTGAATAGTTTAAAAATGTATTTGGAATTTAGGTTTAACTCAATATTTAAGTTCCCTGTTTAAGAAATAGAAAACATACCAATCTTCTCATTTCATGGGAATACCCTGAGCCTGCAATCACGGCTTCAATTTTTGAATTGCAGAATAATTAGATGCACTATCTAGTGTATATAAGATATCTAATGCAAAAATCCTTCAACAAGAAAAATAGCCACCGCATGCATCAAAGCTATTCTAGGAAGGCGGTGGTTTTTTCACAAACCTAATTAATAGTGATTACTAGAAGAAATAAAGCAGGTTGATAATGAAGAAGTTATTTTTTAAAGAAATTAAGGTTACAGAATACCTTTGAGTGTTAATTTTGCCTAAAATTTGTTTATTGATTTCCATGAAAGCATTAGACTAGTTCTACTATCTGACCAAGTTTGGACGAAAAATGTTGAAAACTCGCAGAGTTATTTAATAAAATACATTTCGCTTGTAATAAGAAAAACATTGAAAATAATATTCAAATTCAATTTTCTCCCGAAGAATTTTACGGCAATTACTGATTTTTAAACGAGTTGTGCTCCTGCGGGTTTTAACGAATTTTTCTCAAATTTTCACAGGACATAGCTAAAGAAGTCAGTTTCAAAATTGTGTTCGGCTTTGTTCTAATTTTGGATATTTTAATAATAAAGAGCAATTCACACAAACGATTCAGAAATATATTGCAGTCGTCAAAGAAATCGCCATATCAGCGGAATGACGAAATAAACAAAAATTTCCGAACACAATTTTTTAGAGCAACTATTTTACTGTATAAAAATGATGTTTTCATAAATATATCTTAAAACCAGCAGGAACATAACTCAAAAGCGTAAAGCTACCGCGACTTAAGATTTTCCTGAATAATTCTTACATTATTTTATTGTTTATCAATTTTACAACTTTATCATATTTTTCATGAACTGGCTAACATTTGGTGAAAATTTGATGAAAATCGGACTGATTTTGAGCGCGCAGTAGCGATTTTCCACAAAACGCCAAAAAGGGTGTCCTGTAACCTTAGCGAAGTGTATACAACTTCGGCAAGAAAGCCTGGCCATAATAGTTCGTTTGAGTGAACTTTATACTGTTACTGGAATCAAACTAGAGTAAGCTATAATTCAACTTTGAAATGCCATTTTGGATATTTATCAAAGCCATAACAAGAGATTTACTGCATGAACTGGGCCACTCAGTTGCATATGAACAGCCCATTAGATAGTAAACAAATAAAAATAAATACATGATGTATATCCTGGTTTTCATTTAGTTATCGAAGAATTTGGCGAATCGGGGGAGATAACCTTGCCTATACGGCCTTATCCAAAATATCTTGAACTGAAATATTGGATTACTGTACCAAGAGGACATGTAAAACTGACTGTGCATGGTGAGTTAAAATTATACTATTACAAAAACCTCCAACTAGGTGTTTATATAGACTTTACCGTATGTTGCACTTTTGCATTAATGGCCTCGTGTCCATGTTTCCCTGTTGTATGTACAGTATATCGCCATGTATCGTGCGCGAATTGGTCTCTCTTTAGTCGTGTTTACACTAAGCCTAGCCTTGGCCTGGCCTTGGTCAGGCCAAGGTAAATGTGGCGCGTTTACACCATATCACTATTTTTTGAGACTGGCTCACTTTGGCCTAGAATTTTGTAATTAATTTTGTGTATTTTTATGTGTTGTGGACACACGTGGCCATGAAAATAAAGCCCAGGCCAGGGCCGAAAGTGTTTACATTTCCACAAGCCTAGCCCAGGCCTAGGCCAACGGTTGTAGTGGGCCCACATTTCCTGGCCTAGGTCAGGCCGAGGCCAGGCCAGAGTCTGTTTACACTGTCAAAATGTAGGCCAAGGCCAGGCCAAGGCTAGTAGTGTAAACACGACTTTTGATCTTGGGTCAACGAGGCCATTTGGGCAAGAGTATAAACGATCAAGCAAATGTCATTTTCTATATTAATGATATGCATATAGAAATATTACTCGACTGTGATTGATTGATTTCAGTGCAGTTAATCTCACAAACAGCAGTGCAAAATCTGTAATCACAGTGCATTTTTTTGTGATACAGCTAGTGCAATTTTTTTGTAATAGTGCAAAAAATCTGTAAGAAGCTGATCTGATTAGTGGAAAAACAATGTGATGATAAAATCAACCAGTCAGTTTAAAACAGTTCTGAAGTAACGGTCACAGATTGCTGCAAATGAAAACAAACATCACGCCGCGCTACATAGAGTAAAAGTAACTTCGGTTGGAAAATATGGCTTTTATCTCTTTTTTGTCAAATGGAAAAGCCTTTACCTTAAACAAGGCTAACAAAACTGACAAAACTTACATAGTTGAGTGGAATTTTTAAGCCGTTGGCGTTGCATAATGTGATATAACAAAGCAGGAAAACTTTGTTTAATTTAAAACTACAATTGTCTCGAACATTTTTATGTATAATAGCAATAAGTAATAGCATGGTTTCTCGTGAAATTTGGATAAACATGCACTCGTGAGTTTTTCAAAGACCTCAAATAGCACTCGTCCTTCGGACTCTTGCTATTTTGATGCTCTTTGAAAAACTCACTCGTGCATGTTTTATCCAAATTGCACTCGAAACCATGCTATTACATATACATAATTCCTATACAGCTTCCCATCCCTGTTTGAGTTTTAGGTAATGAAAGTTTGTTACTTTTTGAATGGATAATTCGAGGCGGTCATATTCGTGTCACCCCTTTATTTATTTACAATCGCAAATTTAAAGGGCGGGATATTTTGATCTAATCTAAATATTTAATCTACAAAGGGTGATGTCCATCATGCATGGTGTGGACTAATTTGTATCTGGACAGTACACGTATTCACTTCGCCTGCAGCAAATGTGAAAAACTTTTCTTACTGTAGATTTGTGGTGGTCACCCCAATATGGTCGTAATAACCCTTCCGGAAAGTACTTAGCCATGGTTATAGAGCGTCGTTTCCATGTTTGAGGCGTTGGCTTTAGAGGTCTTTGTCTTGTTACTGCATGAGTACAATATCTTACAATTCACTAGTCTGCATGATATAACTGTATGGTTTCGCAAATGTGCCACCTGTAACAAAATAGAGGGCTTTAAACCCAATATCTCAATCACGAAAACAAGGCTATATAGCGACTGTAAGACTGAGCACTTTCTTTAAGAGTGTATTGGCTTCATACATATAGCAGATAAACCATTAAGTACTGCACACGTAAAAACATACAAGTTGTTACAGATCTGCAAACGAGTTTTTGGAAATCTGTCCACAAGCCGTCGAGAAGTTGTGTTCGCACTCGTCATCTGCTTGTTCCCAATTGTTGTAAAAAGTTTGGAACAAGCTGTTAACAACTTGTAATACTGTAACATTGATGGCATTATCAGACTTGTTACAAGGTTGTTCTAACACTGTCTGATACAGTCATGATATAACAAGAATGTTACAAGGTTGACGACACAAGGTTGTAACAATATTTTTATATCATGACTGTATCGGACTTGTTGGAACAACCTTGCAACAACTCTGGTAATATCAACAAGGTTGTTTGCAACTGTAAACAAGTCGTTCCAGATTTTGGGACAAGAAATGCGAACACAACTTGTTGGCGGCTTGCTGGCGGACTTGCAACAAGATGTGATATTTTTCCGTCAGTAGTTATTAATAGTTGAATTTATTCTTTTACAGATCTATATTTACCGAAGTATGATTACCGAAGTAAAATTAATGTGTACAGATTTAATGACAGGAAAAGAGAACTTGTAAGAAGTTTTGATAACAGTAGTACGCTGGACACAAGTACTGTCATATCAGATAGCAACAGGCTGGCTGTGACTTATAAGTCATATAGGGAAAATTCCATTGAAAGATTTAGGATTACTTATTCCATGCTAGAAACTGGTAGGTTTGTTTGGGATTTAGGATTTAATGTTACCATAAACAGAGGTTAATAAATCACGCAAATCCTTTGTGGCTAAATTGGGTGACGGAAAGTGCGGTTTCTTTCTTGGGGGTAGGGGTCCCCAGAAAAGCTGTAGAGACAACATCAGGGTGAGAGTAAGGGCCCTCACCGTTATGGACACTGAATTTCATGTCCGAGCCGGGCTTCCCTGTGGTGAAGTGACCGAGAGATGCGAAGATCAGGATGCGAAGATCAGGACGCCGTTATGGACCTTGCTCTCTTTGGCCGGTGTGTGCTTCACCGTGGGCGAAGTGTGGCCGTGTGAACACCACTTTCCGTCCCGTTTTCTTTATTTCTTCTTGAATGTATAAAATTATTTACAAGTTGATAAAACAGAACAATACAGATATGATTACAATTAATTTCTTATATTTAAGTTCCATATGCTTCTTCTTCATCAAAGGGTTGGGTGGGTGAGATTTTCCTTTTATGTTGTCTCAAAGACCGGTGAAACAAGAGTGAACTGAGATAAAACTTTGCTAGCTTTTGATGATAACTGCATGAAGAATGTCGGCTTAGCAAAAAGGGATTGTATATTGGCATTGGCACTTAGCATATTTTGGCAGATATTGCCGCCAGGGGCATGCAAAGCGGTTGTTTTCTTTGCGTATCGTTTCTGTTTAGGTTACATAGTTTTATGTATGGATGTTGCGTCTTATTAATCCTAATTTATTTTTTAAATAAATTGCTCCTGAAATTAAGCTTTAGAAAAAATGTCCAGATTTATATACTTTCAGAGAAGAAGAGCAGAAATGATACTCATGATGTTTTAACCCTACAGTACTGTATTTCAAAAGATTTTGGTTGCGTATGTGTTATGGTGCAATAAGAGTGTTTATTTTTTCTCTTGCGGTCCGCGAAATCATATTTTATGCTTTTCTGCAATCTGATTGACTACGCGAGCGGTCCGTATGAGCCCGCGCGAGATTTAAAGCCGTAGAACCTATGTTTTTATTTTTTAAAATTTAAGGACGAGTTTAAAGGCTACTTTTTAAAACATTAAAATGTCTGCAGACGATGAAGAACACAGTGAAAAAAATGCTTGTATTCAGAATGTTTCGTTTTTGAATTTTTTAAATAAACATGTCAGGTGATTTCCTTATTTGGCACCTGCATTTGCGTGCGGGAGGGGAGTTGGGGAAACTTCAGAGGGGGGAATTAAAAAAAATATATATTTACCGGTAGGGTCGGTCCGTATAGAGAAATATTTCTCTCCTATTCGGGAAATATTTCTCTATACGGAACTCCAATCCGGTAAATAACATATATGTATTTTTTTAGCACCAAAAACATGCGACAGTTCGTTCCCCAACGTGAAAAAGTCCAAGTTATCTGTGGCATTGTATGAAGGTAATATTTAAAGCAGGCGAACTCAGACATGAGTCTATTAGTACTATTGTAACCACTATTTTGTAGTTATGTAGTGGTTAACCACTGGCTAAGCTAGCCATGGCAACTGGTTATACAATGCTAATAAATCTGCATCTAAATAGGTTAAAGACAACACATTGCTATGGTTAGCTTTGTATGGTTAGCTTAGTTAGTTAGTCAACTCCAAAATACGGTGTTAAAACAAGGTGTTAATTATGAAAATTTGACACAAGCTTTGTTTTATTAGAGCATCTTTTTATTTTTGCACAATCTCAACAAATTCAATTATAAAATTCTGAACTAGGTTGGGAGGTGACGTATACTTGTGCATCTGGCTACGGCAACGGAAATTACAATGACTTCACTGTACTATGCCTGGCAAATGGCAGTTGGACTTATAGGAAAGGTAGAGAGTGCCGCAAGATGTGCCCTTCACTAGGTTGGTAACAAAATATCGTGGTCTTTCTCATTGTGTTAGCTGCGTATTCCCATGTTATCAAAATAGGTCAAGAAGATTTGACCGTATTAAATGTAAATGTTAAATACTAACATCAGATTAACTCCGATACCAGATGGTACCGGATAGTAGCACACCGGAAGCCGGTCAGGGAAAAATATAGTAACCGGTTACCGGATAAATAAGATCTATAAGATCTATAGCGGCAACGTGATGACGACGGCTAGTAGGCCTACTCTGGGGCGGTAAATCGCCTTAAATCGCTGCGATATAATGCGATTTTGGGCGATTTTAGGCGATTTAAGAAAAAACTGGGACTTTCAAGCACTGCGATTTTAGGCGATTTAAGGCGATATAAGAAAAAAATTTAAATTTTAGGGATTGCAATTTGGGTGTTTTCAAAGGAATTGAATTTTATATTTTGCTCCGGTTTCCTCCCACAGGGCAAAATTGGCAGGGTGGGTTAGGATAAACACAGTTAGGAAAGTAATGTCATATCCTCATTGTTGTAAAGATAAATAGTCTAGGCTAACATAAGTAATCATAGTACTTGATGTAATCGGTCACTGAAAAGCCCCAATGGAGAGTGAGCTGAATAATAATGTAATGTTTCCACACACATATGCATTTAAGCAAAATACAATTATTAGAACATGTATGTACATTTTATATAAAGCAAGGTTAACTAATTATTGTATTTAACCTGATTCACATATACAGTAAGCTCAATATCCATGAACTTTTCACCCATTCTCTATTTAGAAGCCATTGGGGGTTCATCTTGTGGGGTCATGTGGTCAATTCATGGCTACATTATATACCACAATTATTGTAAACAGTTAATATACTCTACTTAAGGGGCATGCACTACACATGTCTTAAACTTTAATATTATTAATTTATGTCGAGTTAAAATTGCAAAATATAATA